TATATATAAAGTTATACACGAGTAAAAATATCTCAACATGAATATTTTTATAATTTATGTACTATCATAAAATTTCAATTTTTTAATTGTGTAATATTATTATTACATAATATTTAATCAAAAATCTCAAATTTAATATTGAATTTAACAAACAAAAATTGACCTAAAAGCTTTATTTGAGAAAGAAATGATATTATGGTTAAAATTCATATACAAATGGAAACAAAACCATACATAATCATCCATATTGAGTTATATTTTATTTTATGAATTAGTTGAACTGAACACAATTATTCTGTTAACAATAATTATTTTTTAAAAAATATTTAATATTTGAAGAATTAAATAAATTTAATCCGTGTATAATGTAGGGAATCATCTAGTTATTAGTAAATTTTCCGAGGCTTTCAATAAAAATCGTTAGAAGATCGAATAATACTCATGAGACGTTTTTGGAATATTGTGTTGTTGTTTGAAGTCTTTCTAAGCGAACATGTTTAACCATAGTTTTCTAATATGAAAACGTTTATGAAGTCTTGTTAAAATCTATATTTCTTCCGTGTGTTAATTTTGAAGTTATCCAAATATTTTTTCTTTTAACATTCGAGACATATTTACACAATCGACGTAAAAATAAAAATTAACAACAGAGAAGTCCAATTTAATAACTCTAGACTAGAGGAGAACAAACGAAAAAAATAATAGAGGACAAACTTAACCTGGAAGATAAAATTCATTGATATTTTTTAGGGATAACCTACTTTTTTTTTAAATAGCTAGAATAACTTTATAATAACCTATTCTAGATTTTTTTTTTCATAATATCAAAATTGTCCTTCGCAGAATCTGCTGAGGTATTAGCAGACTCTGTCGAAACATTGGCAGATTCTACCGATGTATTGGCAGACGCTGCCAATATCTAAAAATATGCAGACTCTGCCAAAATATTGGCAGACTCCGCCGAGGTATTGGCAGACTCTGCCGAATCATTGGCAAACTCTACGAAAATATTGATAGACTCTACCGATGTATTGGTATACTCTGCCAATATCTAGAAATACGCAGACTCTGCCAAAATATTGGCAGAGTCTACCAATGTTCGGTAGAATCTGCCAATGTTTCGGCAGAGTCTGCCAAAGACAATTTTGGTATTATGAAAAAAAAAAAATCCAGAATAGTTTATTTCAACAATAAAAAAAATGGTAAGGTTATTCTAACTTTTTTTTTTTAAGTAGGTTATTTTAGGTAAATTTTTCTATTTTTTATGACGACCAAAAGCAAATTTGATAACAAATAATTGATAACCCAAAAAAAAAAGCCTGCTATATGTCGAACAAATAAATCTTGGTCGTTTTTCCCTAATAACCTTCTCGGAGTCCAATTTAGAGTTTCGTCGATGAAACGCAAGGAACATGGCAAGGACAGGACAGGTTCTGCTCAAGTATGTTAGAACCGATATATCCCTCTTGCCTAAAGATGTCTAGATTGCCTGCAAAGTCGCTGATGAAGACCCACCAAAAGAAACGAAAGGAGCAAGATCGTAACGAAGACGATGAGAGCCCAAGTAAGCTAGTCTCGATCCCTTTTGATCTAGAGTTGGAGATACTTACTCGATTACCTGGAAGGTCTCTTATCAAGTTTCGATGCGTGTCCAAGATTTGGTTTTCCATGTTCCGTGACTTCTTCTCTATGTCCTCAACACGATCACGATTTATAATCGTTTTCAGTAACAATGTACCCGCCGATTTTAATGCCAAACGTTTGTTCATATTCTCTGCTTCACACGAGGGAGAAGAATCTTCTTCTTTGGTTGCAAATCTCGACATGGAAATACCTTCACTGACTTTGGCTCACGGCTCCAACTATCCTTCCGTCCATGGCTTTGTCGGTTCTTGTCATGGTGCTCAGTTCACTATTTGTAACCCTACCACAAGGCAAGTCATCACCTTTCCCAGCAAATTAAAGGGACGCTCACATATTTTGGATACGATCCTCTTCATCATCAATTCAAAGCATTGACCCTGCTGCCTACTCCTTCTCCTTCTCCTGGACAGGATCATTGGTGTCATTTGCACGAGGTTATAACACTTGGAGCAGGAGAATCACGCAATCAGGTTACCACCCTGCTTTATCGCCCTCTAACTAGGGGACTATGCATAAATGGTTTTGTGTATTATGGTGCTTGGGAATCAACACCAACCAATCCGGTGATTGTGTGTTTTGATGTTAGATATGAGAGGATAAGCTTTATCAAAGCGCCCAAGGGTGTCCTGCTTATGCAAAGTGATTCTATGTTGACAGAATACAAAGGGAAATTAGCTTCCATTGCAAGAAACCCATTTGTTCCTTTCCTCAGTTTTGATTTATGGATACTAGAGGATGTGAAGAAACATGATTGGTCCAAGCAAACATTTGAGCTTCCCTGTATATGACTTCCCCGGGCGCCAATAAGGCTGGTGAAATCATTTTTGCTCCAAAAACTCTGCCACACAATGCTCAACCCTTCTACATTTTCTACTACAATGTAGAAAGAAAAGACATGAGAAAAGTTCGGATACATGGAATTGCAGACGATGAAGGGTTTAGGCGACGTTATGGACTCACAGGCAGTTGTTGTGTCTCTATCTCACCCCAACATGTTGAAAGTATTGCCTCTTTATAATGTGTTTAATGTATTTCTTCAAGGATCTAATTGTAAGAGCTTGACAAACTCTAGGGTGTTTAAATGTTTTTTTCATAATTTTTTTTTTTCATAATTAAGACAAATACTACCTTAAAATTAAGAAAATGTGAGGGAATGAGATCCTATTGTAACAGCTTGACATTTGAAAATTTTACAAAATAATTCAATAGACCAAAGAAAGCAAATCAAATAAATCACACTGAATCACAGTCATCATTATTACAACAAGAACTATACAAGGAGAGCGAGGAGGAAAGAGGAAGCAACAGCCATATGGAAGGAGCTTGAGGACAACATCATAGTTGGAGCTGCTGAACTTGTTGTGTTGCGGTTTCCACTGTATCTCGTACGTTTCTTCATGACCACTCCAAGATTCCTTGAGCCATGCTCGTTAGCTGAACACAAAAGGAGAGTCTGAG